AACCCTAAACCCTAAACCCTAAACCCTAAACCCTAAAATATTCGGACTACTACGTACAACGGAGCTATAGTGTAGCCTTGTTAAGCTCTACGGTCTCTACTATACGATCAGAAGGTTAAAAGATCTGTTGATGCTGCTCCTCGAGCTAGTTAAAGAGATTATTAATAGTAGAGGATGTTTGCTCAGGCTCTGCTGATTCTAATCGTATAGGGCCTATAACAGCAAAGTAGTGAGAGTAAGGCCCTTAGCGATAGAGACGCTAGCAGGTAACAGGGCGAGTATACTTACGTAACTCTTCTTCAGGGGTAGGTAGAGAGGAGGAAGGATTAAACGATTAGGAAGAGGAGTAAGCGCGCTATTAATAACGAACTCGCTAGTGCTCTTTTATTCCTTTAGTCGTACGACAAATATATCGGTATAATAGGGTCCGCTAGTATTGAATACTATCTTAGTAAACAGGGAGAAGATCAAAAGGCGGGGGCTGATTAGGGATCAGGCTATTATCAAAGGTAGATAATAACTAGGGCCAGAGACTAGGAAGGTATTAGTGAATCTGCGTAGCTGTACGAGAGGAAAGTGAATAAGGAGAATAGCGAAGATAGGTTATAACTTGACTGATTCGCATAGCTGATTGGCAGGACGAGTAAACTAGAACATGAAGAGAGGGAAGAGGGATAAAAAGCTCTTGGGTAAGAGAGTGAATATTAGTCTCTATTTTTAAGTATAAAAATTAGTGATGATTAGCAAGTGCTAGGAAATAATAAAAAGATTGTATTCAGGGGTCGTACGAGAATAATCACCTCAAGGAAAAGGATAGTGTGGGTCAAAATAAGAAAGGTGGGCCCTCCCGGTCGTACCCTATCAAAAGGAATTAAGGGTTTTGGGCAATTTATGATTAACTCGTACGACTGCTATAAGTGACTGCAGAAGCTAAGAATGAAACCGGATATAGAATATATGTCAACTTAGAACTTCTAAAAATTTCGAGGTGATCGTACGAAGAAAAGTGCCAGCAGTCAGGTAGGGAAAAGAGCGAGCAGTGAGGGTGGTGGGTCCAAATTCTGCCCATACATAAGGCCTCTACACCGCCGAGCAGCGACCCTCACTGCTCCAGGTCCCTTGGGATAGGGACTCCATCGCGCTCTCCTTTCTCGGCCGCCTCGCATCTACTCTACCTTTGCTCCTGTGTGATGTCGTCTTGTGTGATACAGTACGTCCCGAAACTCAACAAGTTGCTGTACGTTCTCCAAGTTATGTAAATGGTGAAATTTGCCTGAACGGTCGCACTTGAATTTGCTCAAACGTTGACGCTCAAGCCTCAAGCTCCTTAATGCAATGTCTAGATCTACATCCAATTACTGCGCCCAGGACTCGTCAGTCAAGAAGAGATAATGAGAACTATGAATCAACGCCAATATATCGAAAGGTTCTCACGGCCAGATCATGGCCGACTGCTCCTCATGGGATAAAAGTCAACTTGTCCAGCGCGAATTACGGGAAAATACCGAACCTCATATTGATAATGCACTGATTGCGTCGGGTAACCAAGTCAAGAGCGAGCGAGCGAGCGAGAGAGAGGCAGAGACACACAGAGAGAGAGAGAGTGTGTGTGTATGTGTGTGTCTGATTCAAACTTTTAAACACCCAGGTATATCGCTTCTAGAGTAAATGCATAGAACAAAAGGCGATACGTCTAGATGGGCATTCCCCCTTCAAAAGACGGAAAATTGAAACAGGAGATAGAAAACGAAAATAATTATGAAAATACATCAACATATAGAGCAGAACAATGAATTTTTCGGGATGGAAGTATAATAAGTAGAATCTAAAGAACAAAAGATGATCAGATCGTGAATGATCTAAGGTGTGAAAAGAAAGAGAGGAATAACGACAGACGAAAGAAGTAGAAGTGAGAATTTGAGAAATGTAGAAGGGCAGAAGGCAGCGAGTAGCCGATTGGCGCTGGGTACAGCGATAGAAATCCCTAGTGGCCGATTGTTGCATCAATTTTCTCCAGGATCGCATCACGGTATAGTCCCATTCCAGGACTTCGTGGATGGAAAGCCTTGATTTGATAGGTAAAATACCAGTCTGAAACATCCTGCGCGTTGAGATCTCCATCTTTGATGGCCTGGGTCGCGTTTCCATATGACCATGCTATCGGTCCGTCTGGTTCTTGGTTGATAGCGATTGAAACAAGGCAAAGCCATTTCTGCCATGGGTCTGGATCTGAACCGAGCGCGGTTTCACAATTTGAAGGGTCCGGCAGATCAATACCATTTTGCTTCAGATAGGAAACATCACTCGCATCTGACGAAGTCACAGTATCACCATCAAGAGGGAGATCATTCCAGCCGCTCAAAAAGAAGTAAGTGTTCGGGGCGCTCGAGTCAGGTTCATGAATCCCTTGCTCACACCAGCGGTGCGAGTAAAATTTGCTTTGGACATCCACGTAATACACTCTCGTGGAACCAGCTTCGGTATTGGCATCTCGAATGGCAGCCATGATTACATCGTTGAGCTGAGAGACCAGCAAGTTGAGTTCAGCACGAAGATCGTTTGTGAGGTAGACCATGCGGTTCAACCACCAATCACTGGGAGGATTATAGCCACTCCAGAAATAATGAAAGGTGCTCTGGTCACAATCGGTGGTGTCTTGGTTGAAGAACTCGGGGTAACCAGTGACAAATAGGGAGAGATCAACTTCTTCGCCCTTTTCCAGAATCTGCTTATAGAGAGTCTTGAGCTTGTGGCGTAGGCCGGTCTCTCCTTGATCATTCATCAAAGCGCGTGCCTTGTCCTCAGCTTCAACGCACCACTGGCGGTAAGTTGATCCAAAGTGCCAAGTAGCTGGGGTCACGATGCAATTCCAAACAATGTCAGAAAACCCAAGATCGTTTCCGCCCATAGTCAGAGTGGCCAAGTTTGCAGAATATTGACTACTCCATTCTTGAATTTGACGTCCCAAACCAGTTGTGGTGTCACCCGAGCAGACTTTCTTTTCGATGGAAATAGAAGTATCTTGGAGTTCTTGATAAATTAGGTCGCCATAGTTGGACTGACCTACACGACACTTGTCTGACGATGTGACCCCGGTGCCCATTCCTGCCGCAAAAGAATCCCCAAATGAAACCACGCCACTGATTTCGAATGCACTCCCATGGTCAAACATCAGGGGATTATACTGTACACACTCCGAAGTTGTTGCTGTCGATAGCTCAGAAATGGCTTGAGCAGAGGTAGGGCTAGGCGGAACGAGGGGAACTTCAGTGCCAACATTGTTACTGAAGAAAATACCAGCGGCAACCACGGCCCAGGTATCCGCATTGATCTGTGAAAAGTCCGCATTACAGATGCCATCCTTTGAAGGGTCGCTGGTATCTGCGCAAAGGTTTCCTTTGAGACCAGCGTAAGGTTGGCACCCTCGGTTGAATGTACCCTCTGCAAGCAGTTTGCAACTCTCCCATCCGTATGCAAAATCTTTGGCTTGTGACGGGTGAACTGTCTTCATTGCAAATTTGGAATGGGTCATTTCGTGAAGAAGGACAGCAGATCTCGTGTGGTGTGCATCTATAATGCTCGCGGGAGGGTTTTGGAACTTGTCGGCCGTGGCTGTCATTCTGGTATTCGTGAAGAATCCAGGGCAGATGTTCATTGTTTTTCGGCCAGCATTCATGAAAGCAATGTCGGGAGTTGGACCTGTACATGGGTTTGCAGTGAAGTTACAAGTGATCTGGAGACCAAACCCAGAGCCATCCAGCATCGACACAACGTTATTGTAGACACCGGCTGCGTTTTTCGCAAACTTTGGGTCAGCTCGTACGTTCTCTGAGAAGAAAGTCTTGTAGAAGCTCCACGTCTGCAGATCATCCCGTGCGCTTTGTGCCATCCACATTGCGAATCTGAATTCTTGAAGGATCGCTGGCCTTTGGCTCACAGAACATATAGCCGCGCCTGTGCCACCCCAATTCAAGTTTGGACGAAAGGTCGAGATCTCAGAATCAAGATTGTACTCACATGTCCCTTCCGGACAATATCCACGGCTGCAAGCGAAGTCACACAAGTTATCAAAAATATTGGAATGGCCTGGCCCCGCCATTCCAGACATATTCGTTTGAGGTGGTGGCTGGATAAGTGGCCCTGTTGCGGTACAAGTACAAAGGTTGATAGGGCAATAGCCGTAATTACAGGCGTAGGAGCACAGCCCGATGGAGTCGCCTTCACCAGTTCCAGCAATACAAGCTGGTGGCAGGAAATCAGAGACCGTGGGAATGGGCATAGTATGCTCGACAGTATCGCATGTCTTGCTTGGGCAATATCCGTAATTGCAAGCAAAGCTGCAGAGGCCTTCGTAGTTGGCATCTCTGCCTTCCGCGGGATATCCAGTGACTCCTGTCGCATTAGGCTTGGTGCGAGCTGAACCTAGTTGCTCGCAGGTACAAGCGCCAACAGGACAGTAGCCATAAGAGCAAGTGAAGTCACAGAGATCGTTGAAATCATAAGCACCTTTGCCCTTGATACACTCATCGCCTTCAAGAAAAATCGTGGCCTTATCGGAGAGTGTTCCAGTAAAACTTCCCACCCACGCATTGTAGTTATTGAAACCCTGTGGACAAGTGGAAGAAATATCAATTCCAGAGAGCGAACCAGTCTGAGTATCCCCATATATCAGTTCGAATGCAACCTTTCCAGGTCTAGCGGGGTACGTGCCAAACCAGAGGCCTGCTCCGCCATTCCCATCTGGCATAGATTCCCAGGTAGGATAATATGAAGATTCTCCTCCGCTGAAAACCATCACCTCATGGTTGCCGTCGGTGAACAACGCCAAGATGAAGATGCGGTCTTCTAGGCCATCGGCTGGTGTGAACTCGATTTGCAATTGTTGAGCGGTATTGAGTGTCGTACCCCCAGTAGAACAAGCAGATACTGGATGCGGGCGATACCAGACGACCACTTTGTCTTCAGTAACATCTGCTTTCCCATTCTTATAAAGATCGATCAGGAAAGGAAGAACATCCCGCCAGCCATCATGCGGAAAGTCCAGTGCGTAATTGAAGGGGGCTTTGCCAATGTTAAATGCAGCCATAGACTTCTCGTAAACCGGGCCAATATAGTGCGATTCACCGTAGTCATTCCACGAGATGATCTCAACAAATTCAGGCATCGGGTCAAGACCAAGAAGCTCCTGCCATCGGTCAAACCAGAGGCTATCACCCTTCCAAAGCCAGTTCTTGTTGTAGCCTGGAAGGTTCGTGTAGAACCATGGTGATATAGCCATCATATATGGTTTACCCTCCAGATACTGGAAATAAGAGGCATCTGTATAGGTATCCATCGTCTGATTGCCCCATGGCCAAGCAGACCAACTAAACAGTCCGTCGGCAACACCATTTGCAAGTGCTGCAGCTGGCTTGGCACCAACAGACGACCAATCGGGGATGAAATAACAATTCGTCTGTGCTTTGATTTCCACCCAGTCATCCGCATTTCCGGGACCTTCAAAGGTAGACACGAAAGGCTTGCCGTTGTATAGGAAGTATGCTCCATTGGAACTGTACTGCTGGATCATACTGATCACGGTATCCTTGCTCCATGGCCCATTTCCCGCGTAGTCGAACGAGAAGAAAAGTTTGAAGCCGACTGAGCCAGCAGCATCAAAGGCGGCTTTAATAGAATTGTCGTTGGTGCTGTCTTGCCACGCCATGTTCAATGCAAAGGCATCAATATGGGCATCTTTGGCCAATTTCATATCCGATTCCCAATCGGAAGCAGTATAGTTTTGGGAGTTCGTGACCTATGAGAGCGTAATCAGTACTCATCTCTCACCAGGAAACCACCAAAGATGCAAATACCATAAAATGTGCAAAGACAGCCTTTGCATTGGTCCCATGGACGAGGTGGCTGGCCACCACAAGGGCAAGCCATGCGTACCAGTTCATTGTCGCAAAGAACGACTGACTTTTTCAAAAGGCAGCTTGAACCTGGACTGGATAGGTGGTACATCTCGTTTAAGTATTATATTACTGTTCTGTGGGAAAGCATGGCAATTTGTGTGTGATTGCTGGGTCGTATTCTAAGATCTACGCTAATAGAGAATCAAGACGGCGCACTTACTAGCTAAATTGCGAGTTCATGGATAGCCATATTTCCGACGAAGCCTAGTTTAGCAGAGTGGGTACACAGCTGTAAAGGGTAAGACAATATAATAGTTACAAAGCCGTCGGAGCGTGCATATTCCAAGGGAAGGATATCAATTTCAAAACTTTGGGTTCTCATTAACCCACTACAACACGATCTGAGGGAAGACAACTGCCTATCGCAAGTCGCATTTTAGTCAAATAAGCTAATATCCAGACTGCCTGTCCATGCTCACTACCTATACCGCAACTACTGTTTCTTTCCAGTAAGTCCAGTATCGACTGCCTTTTTCCAGATTTCAGCAACACCCGAAAAAGTTCGTCGGATACTCTGTCTTGTAACTTCCTCCACACCGGAAATACAAAACACAAAAAGAATGCCGCCCGAGGAGACAGAAAATAACTTAATCCTTTCCTAAAACTGAATCCGATACACAATAATCTGAATCATGCAGGGGGCAGAATTTTGTCTTTGCTCCTCATAAACGGTATGCCAGTCCTACACCCAGCCCAAGCTCAGACTATACCGCACTAAGGCGAGACTAACAATAGCTCGCGTCTCTAGGCGATCTTGGCAAATTCGGGTTAGGGCGGCTTCTCTAGCTATCTACTCTATTCATCGTTAAGCCCACAAGGTCGTCTCTATCGTTTGTTGCAGACAACATCCAAGTAAGACAATAGAATCGCTTCCACTACAGCCTACTTTCACCGCATATCATGACGCCAACCACAGCAGCTATTGCTAGGATAGCATCAATTGTGATAGAGCCTGTGGTCGGGTTACCATAGTAATTTTAGTTAGCCTTGGCGTTCTGGTTAGCCTTGTGGACTCATGCGATTTCGGCTCCAGTAGGTGTTTCTATACTCCGTACAGCTTTTCTAGATCACAGCGAAATTGCGAGAATTCTCTGATAATAGTCTCGGTTAAAGTGAAGAATTAGTGCAAACACTACGCAGGATCGCAGGTTTTACGCTATTCCTCGTACCTAACATACGGAGTACAGGCAATACAGTGACGTTACATCAATGTTTGGACCCCTAGCCCCACCCACTACTAGCTTTCATGAACGCCCGATATCCATGCCCTTCCTTTGGCTGGCTACCCTAGTATTCGGCGCCCCTAGTAGTAGAAGACAGAATAGAAGAAGGAAAGGATGTGTGTGTAAGAAGAGAGAGGGTGGTTGAATTGGTAAATGTAAGCCGTGAAAGGCTTGGCAGAAATAAGGCAGAAATCAGGCCAAATGTCGTGCCGCCAGAATTTTGATGTCGTGCCAGCAGTCGCCCCCAAAAAGAATACTCTTAATAGTAGAGAGCCATTTTTTTTAGATAATTACCCTTTAAGTTAATTTATACACTTATTTCGATAATATAGCTTTAAAGTATAGTCTTTATTTAAGTGAACTTGCTCTAAATTTTAAGTCTTCTATAAGCTCTAATCCTACCTAAAATTAATATAGAAATGCTCTGCCGAGACTTAGACCTTTATATCAACTTATATATTACATCCTTAATAAGTATCAGAAGAGTGCGCCCGTGTAAAAGATCATAATTTCTGTTAGAATCGGTTGGGATAAAAAAACGTGCATTGCGGTGGGAAAAACCATTAGGGTGGGGCGCACCCATAAGCGATTGCGCAATAGGGGCGCCGACTACTAGGGTAGCCAGCCAAAGGAAAGGCACGGATACTAGCCTATACGTAGCGCGTTCTCGCATATGCGAAATCATACTAGACTCGGACTACCGCGAAACTCGTACTCGGACTCGCCGTGGACCTTGATAAGCCTTTGCTTCCTAGCACTTCCTCCCACCAGAAACAAAGAATACCGAAAAGCCGTCCACCCAACCTTCCTATCTTTTTCTGTGACAATCTACTTGGACCGAGGCTCCGTCAATGATGGCTGCAACTTCCTCGTATCTGAGGTATTCTGCTGCAGACAGACGGTACTATGTCCGCTGAGAACATGTCTAACTCAAAGCTAACCCAAATAGATCGGGTTGTCCTCGCCTTCATCTTACATTTGACGCAAAGCCGAGCATTGACTTAGAGGTTGACACGTCGTACGCCATTACTTTCACTATCACTCGGGAAGCAGATGATCCCGAAAGACGACCATGCATCTTCCATTGGGATCCGATTGAGGATGGATTCGGCCAGTCCGGCTTCATGCTGTTTCGGCGGATTCCCGTAGGAAATCCAAATTTTGGCTGGCATCCAGTCTCGATCAACCCTAGTCAGTCGCTAGCAAAGTCCATTCAGCCACGAGAGGTATCGATATCGGATCCTTGCATGAAAGAACTGCTTCCAGGCGCCAGCGTTTCCTGGGAGGTTTCCTTGCCGATTGTCTACTTCGACTCTTTTCGACCGGGGCAGTTTTACCAGACCCTATGGGTAGGTGGACAAATCCCCCTATGGGACTGGGGCACATTAGCGGAGCACCAGAACTGCAAATTAAGCCCTAAATCCATATCATTGATCCTTCCTATCTCGGAGATGCAGTCACTGCATATTTTCGACGAAGAAAGCGATATTGACGATGTGGGCCCGTTGCCACCTTCGCCTCGGTCACTTCTAGCGTCTGACCGAATGGATGGCGCGCCTGTCCTAAACTTGAGCATTACTGGACCTACTACACTGTCGCTGAAAGACTACGATCCCTCAAGTCGTCTTCGATATGCTGTGACGGCAATACTATTATACGAAGCGGCCCCTAATATCTCTCGCAGAGAACCTATTGTGTTTCATGCGTTCCTGTTTAAGGATGTCGATTGGCGTCAAGAGGGATTCAGGCTCTACCGTAAAGAAAACGGGCAGTGGCAGCCATATGAAATACGTGGATCCTTCACGCATCATCGGTATAGAGTACCAAACCCCGTATCAAAGAATGTGGGCCGCAACGAAGACAATGACTTTATTGCACTTAATCCAGGTGAGTCGTGGTCGTTCACGCGGCAAGTGACTGATTTCCCGGAAAATGTGGTGCCTGGGGATACGTTCCGGTACTGTTATAAGGGAGCTCAACTCGACTGGTGGGATTGGGGTCATTTTCAAGATCATGAAGACACGGTAGTTACTATTGAGGGCAAAGTCCGCGAGCCAAAAGACAACGGAGGCCGACCTGCGCTTGTCATACCGGCTAGTAACTACGTGGAGTTCACGGTGGTTGAATGAAAAACCCCTCATAGTTAGAGCGCTCGAATCCATTGTCCGTTCAGAATTTGTTTGATAGCAAGACATCCGTCAATGTGCAACGCTTCCCAAAAGTGGCTCGGTTTCGCCTCCTAGAGCACCGTTGTTGCTCGATGACGACCGAAGTAGACCCAAAGCAAGAAGCACCGCCTGGCCAAGTGCAAAGACAAAGTTGTCGACAATGATCCATCCAATAACGCCGTACCAAACAGAGAAACTACGCCAACTGAATTCGCCATCCGATTTCTCATAGGGAAAAGGAAGAGCCCATATCAACGTCACCGATACCAACGTGAAAATAACGGCTTGTGCAGCGAGGCCCGACAGACTCAACGCATTTGGAAACGGTATAGTCAGGATTTCACGAGCTTGGTAGTAGATACCCACGAAGCCCAGAATCGTGAAAATTGGGTAAATGAGCATACTGTGTACTGCGTAAAAGATGCTTGCGAAGAATTGTTGATCTAATCCTTGAAATGGTGACGTGGCTTCAAGGATCCATGGTAGGGGTGTAATCGAGACGAAAAGATAACAAGCGTATGCGGCAATAAGGGAGTTTCTACGGTCGCTGTGGAGAGTAACTCGAAGGAATCTGCAGGAGAAGAGGGTAAGTTTCTAAACGGATCCATATATTAAATTAGTATGTGATCCTCACAGTGATAAGAAAAGGACTGTGACTATGGCAAAGTGCCACAGATTGAATCGGTCCCCTTTGCTTGGCGGATCATGAAGGAGGATGTTGCCGTCAGATCCAACATCAACATATAGTGAAAATATGGAGATAGTGAGCTGTTCTGTGGCCCGGATTAAACACCACAAAATAGAGAGCGAAGAGATTCCGCGGATAGTGTGTGTCGTCTGGATTCGGAAGATTTGGGGGTAAAACGAAGCGATCGTGAGGATCAAAAGGATGCTGTCAGGGTCAGTACCAAAAGTCGTCGATTCAACAGGTATACGTACACCCGGGACCAAATAGGGGGCTCTGGCAACGACATTATCGCGTTTGTGAGGCGCGTTTGTAGGAAGTCAGGCAGAGTTAGTAGGCGGACTATAGTCTTAATAATAGCTATCAGAGGCTCAGAGCAAGCCAGGATGGTGCAAGCTACTAGCCTAATAATCAGACAAACAAAATCGAAGACGAAATCAAGTGGAGTCTGATGGCAGGTTGAACCATCGTGTGGGCCCTTGGATAGCTCGAATAAACGGCGTTGCAATAGGCAAGGATTTCGAATGTGTCAAACAGGCTACTGTATCACAAGACTTTTACGCTAGTCGCCTTCCGCTCGTGGCAATTTGACTGTGCTTCGGTTAATGGTTAATGCGATCGGTTAGCTCGCCGCATTAATAGGACGAAAGACCACATCGACCCTTTGACTTTCGGAGTTTGTGACTGACTCACTTTACCCTCGCTGGCGATTTGGAGATCTTCGGTGGCCAGTACCCGTACCCGTACCGACTAATTGTCAACGAGTCCGGTCGAAATGCACTAACGTAATTCACAAGCGAGTTGGCCACCCCATCCAAAATTGCGTCTTCCTTATCGCATCTATTCGCGCAGCAGCGAAGGTATACGATCTACCGCGTTCTGCCTTACAAACGCGTGCCCATGGCATAGTCTCACGCGCTGATACACGCCCAAACAATTATAAATTGACCGAATTAGAAGAAGATTCGCTTATTCAATGGATATTCGTGGAGCAGCGCCTAGGCCTGTTACTGTACGAGAAATGGCCAATGTTCTTCTTGCAGCGCGTGGAATCACTCCGCCGACCGTTAGCATTAATTGGGTATCTAATTTTGTTAAACGACATGATGAGCTTCGAACACGCTTCTCCCGGCGATATGACTATCAGCGCACTCTTAATGAGGATCCAAAGGCTATAAAATAGTGGTTTTTGATGGTGCAACGTACGATCGAGGAGAATGGGATTCAACCGGAGGATATTTACAACTTTGATGAGACTGGATTCGCAATAGGCCTTATAGCATCACAAAAGGTGGTTACACGAGCAGAATACTACGGTCGGCGATCAATCCTACAGCCAGGTAATCGCGAATGGGTTACTGCGATCGAAACGATTTACGCCGACGGCTATTCGCTGCCGCCCTGCGTCATATTCAAGGGCCAGGTTTATATTGCTGGTTGGTTCGAATCAAGTCTCCCTAGCAATTAGCAAATCGAAGTATCGAATAATAGCTGGACTACTAATGAAATTAGCCTTCGCTGGCTACAAAAGATATTCATTCTATACACTACTTCGCGTGTACGAGGGCGATTTCGGCTGTTAATCCTAGACGGGCACGGTAGCTATCTTACACCTCAATTCGATCGGATCTATGTCGAAAATAATATTATACTACTCTGTATGCCTTCACATTCGTCTTACTTACTTCAACCGCTTGATGTTAGGTGCTTTGCAGTACTAAAGCGTACCTACGGTTGCTTCGTGAGCGATTTAGCCCGTACTGGCTATAATCACATCGATAAGCTTGATTTTCTTACAGACTATCCACGCGCAAGGATAGAAGCTTTTTAGCCAAATATCGTTTAAAGCAGCTTTGCAGCTACTCGTATCGTACCAGTTAGTGCCGAAGAGTGCTTTCTAAGCTTAATATATCGCTCCGAACGCTTTCACCACCATCAAGCCGGCGAAGCAGCAGATCTAGCGAATTCACACCAAAAACGCCTAGAACAGCGATTCAGCTAGAAAAGCAAGCTTCTATGCTAAAAGAGCACCTAAAACAGCGGTCGCATAGCCCGCCTACACCATCAAAACTTATGCTTGATCAGATTATCAAGGGCCATGCAAAAGCCCTACACCATACTACGCTACTAGTGAAGGAGAACGCCGATCTACACGCAGGAAATAAAAAGAAACGTCAAAAGCGCACTCAATCGACTAGACGGATTACAAACGAAGGGGGCCTATCAATCGAAGAGGGCCTACAGCTAGCTCAGCAGCTAATTCAGCCAGTAGAAGCTGATGGAGTAGTATCGCATAATCAGGTTGATCTGCCTAATCAGCCGATTCAACCGGCCAGGAGGGCTCCGCCTACCTGCAGTGGATATGGCCAAATTAGTCATAGGATTACTTCATGTAACGTAGTTCCCGGCTTACCTGATAACCCGGTTAACCCGATAACCCCAAAACACCATACTAAATGCAATTTTTTAGGTCATAGCATATCAACAACTAGAAGCATTTCTTTCTTTGATTTATAGTGTCATATAAATTCTGAGCACTAAAAACGGTGTAGCATGACTCAAATATTTTGAAAAGGGTTAATTACCTATATTACCAAAATTACACTCCGGTCCAGTGATGTAGATATATATATTAATATTATACCACTTGGAAAAATTTCTCGACCTAATAAATATACTTAGCATGGTATATCAAACACTACGGTATCCCTAAGATGACATTCTTGGCCTTTGGGGTTGAAATATGAAATTATGAAAAATCCCATTTAGTATGGTGTTTTGGGGTTATCGGGTTAACCGGGTTATCAGGTAAGCCGGGAACTACGTTAACTAACGTAGTTCACACCCGAGCGGATCACACAGCCGAGCGGATCACCCCAAAATACCATACTAAATGTGATAAATTACAACTTCATATCTTAACAACTAGAAGGATCAATAATTAAATATTAAGGAATCCTAGACTTAATACTATCTCTAGCCTACTTCTATAATTCAGGACGACTAATCAAAGTACTGACGGAGATATATATACTCAAGCCTTGAATGAGGAAAATATAGCGTATTTTATGGTAACGTATCTATATAATCTTCACATATAGTTAAAATATATAAATGCTGTTCCTGTATCACAGTAGATGCATAATCCAAAATTTTAATCGAATCAAACCTCTGGTGGTCGAAATATGGATGGATCAAAAGACGGCATTAAGTATAGCGCATTAGGGTGATCCGCTCGACTGTGTGATCCGCTCGGGTGTGAGTTACGTTACATAGTTAAAAATCGTATTATCTAGTTGAATTAATGGGTGTTGGTTGAGATACTCGATTTTGAAGTTTTGTAATGGCGGTGGGTGGCCAGCTCGCTTGTGAATTACGTTATAGCCAAAAACATATCGAGTATTATAATCTGCCAATTATATTAGATAAATCGTACTAATGAAAGCGCGTGAAAACGAGCAAGCTAGCCCGCCAAAAAAATAGTCTCAAATTGAGTCCACGATAGTAAGGATGTATTTCGCTACAGTCATTCTCGAGATCGCCTTGACTAGTACAAACTAAGACTCTCTTTCCCGGCCCCACCGCCAAGGCCTTAATACATACCACATGGTAATCTGAAACCTCCATAGGGGCAGGTACCACCAGCTCCAACCTAGGGTAGCTAAAAAAACTCAGAAGACATAATATGCCTGCGTTAGCGGCAACTCAGCTGCGGGCTCCGCGTCACACAGCATGCCATTAGCCTCGACAGTCTAGACAAACCGGAGCATTAGCTAAACCACTTCCCAATAAAGATCCAGCTCGTTCCAAAGAACTCCTTGGTACAGCTAGCGCGCAAGGCAAAATCTTTAATTCCAACTTACATAATTCTCCGGGTCAACCTTCATCTTCGGCATGGCATCATTGAATTCCATATTCTTCTTGCCGACGGTACGGCAACCCTTGACGGCCTCGATGCGCTTGCGCAGGCCATAGCTCTGTACGGCGCCATTGTCGATGGAAGCTTGCGAGACGAACATGATCGAAGTACTTGGCAGGCGTGACTATTCGTCTCAGAACAGTCAACAGACTTGAAAAGTAGGGTGGGAGCAAAAGGAAAACATACGGCAAACATAGGGCGAACGATCCTAGGCTCGACGGTCGGGATTGAGGCATTAGGATCACCCTATACACCAATTAGAAACGGGAGTTATAGTCACGAGCAGAAATAGGCCATACCATCTCCGCAACTGCAATCATCCCACTCTTCAATACCTGTACAGGCTTCGTGCCAAATGTGCTGGGGTTCCACAACACCAAATCTGCAACCTTACCCACTTCCACACTCCCAATAAGATGTGCCATACCCTGCGCCAGCGCCGGGTTAATCGTGTATTTGCTGATATACCGTTTCACTCGGAAATTGTCATTATCCGTGCCCCGGTCCTCCTTCAACTTCCCGCGCTGCGACTTGTTCTTGTGTGCGGTATGCCAGGTCCGCAGAATGACCTCACCGCAGCGGCCCATGGCCTGCGAGTCTGACGAAATCATGCTAATTGCGCCGAGGTCGTGCAGCACGTCCTCGGCTGCGATGGTCTCGGCCCGGATGCGACTCTCGGCGAAGGCCACGTCTTCGGGGATGTTCTTAGATAGATGGTGGCAGACCATCAGCATGTCCATGTGTTCGTCTAGCGTGTTCAGTGTGAAGGGTCGGGTCGGGTTTGTGCTGCTAGGCAGCACGTTAGGGTACTCGACGACCGAGATGATGTCTGGTGCGTGGCCGCCACCAGCGCCTTCGGTGTGATAGGCGTGAACGGTACGGCCCTTGAAGGCTTCAATTGTTTTCTCAATAAAGCCAGATTCGTTCAGTGTGTCAGTGTGGATCATACATTGCACATCGTATTTGTCACAGACGGCTAGGCAGTTATCAATGGCGGCCGGGGTGGACCCCCAGTCTTCGTGAAGCTTGAGGCCAGCGGCACCAGCCTTGATTTGCTCTTCGAGGCTAATGGTATCGCAGTCGTTACCTTTACCTGTAATGCCGATATTGATAGGGAGGCTATCGCAGGCTTGCATCATATGCTTGAGGTGATTGGGTCCCGGGGTACAAGTCGTCGCCTTCGAGCCCGTGGTCGGCCCCGTCCCGCCAGCAAGGAAGGTAGTAATACCAGATGCCAGTACTTCATCCACTTGCTGGGGACAAATCAGATGGATATGCGAGTCGAAGCCACCCGCCGTGACGATCTTATTTTCTCCCGCAATCACATCCGTGGACGAGCCCACCACTAGGTCCGGGTGCACTCCATCCATAACATCAGGGTTACCTGCCTTACCAATGCCAGCAATCATTCCATTCTTGATACCAATATCGGCCTTGTAGATACCAGTGTAGTCGATAATCAGAGCGTTGGTAACCACCGTATCCACGCACTCAGCCGCTGAGCGCCCCGATGCTTGTCCCATTCCTTCACGCAGAGTCTTGCCTCCACCAAAGGTACACTCGTCGCCATAGCTGGCCATATCCTTCTCCACCTGAACCCACAAATTGGTCAACCCCAGACGTACCAAATCTCCTGTCGTAGGGCCGAACATACGCGAATACGCCTCGCGCTCCATCGAGAACCCAGTAACCAGCGCGCTATCCGCTGTTGGTTCCGGCACATGCGCAAAACCGGCCGCCTGGAGCTTGGCGATAATCTCATCAGTCCGACTGAGATCCACGGGCCCATTGGCAAGGTAATTGCCTCCGCGGATAACCTTGTGACCGGAAATCTCGACCAGGGTAACGGTCTTGGTATCCCCGGGCTCGAAACGGACGGATGTACCAGCGGGGATGTCCAGACGGAAACCGTAGGATTGTAGGCGGTCGAAATGCAATTGCGGATTCGTCTCTATGAAGTGGTAATGCGATCCGACCTAGTATTATCAGATCACCCTTAGTTCCCGACCCTGTCTAGCAGATAACTGTATTGCACAGCCCTGTGCAGCACGAATCCGCTCCGCTCTACTTACCTGAATCGGCCGGTCTCCTTTGCTCATAACCTTCAAACGAATCCTTTTCCGCCCATCATTCAACACGATCCGAGTCTCTTTGGCCAGAATCACCGCGCCTGGCATTTTCTCAGGCATATAATCCTCTGGATCGGGGTCGGGGAATGCCTCACGCCGGGGAACGGGCAAGAAACTCCCATACAACGCACGCTCCAAGTTTCCCTCATCACTACTAATCGGATGGTGCACCGTGACTAGGTATGTCCCAGACGGGAATGTACCCTCAACCTGAAGCTCCTCCACGGTAGACACGACGGAGGGCAGGACATGGCGGCGACCGAGCATGGTCTTGCCGATGGACATCAAATCGGCGACGGAGTAGTGTCCGTCGCGAATCAGCTATACAGCGTAATCACATTATTTGCTCGAATCTCCATTGGCGTGTGGCACAAGGCCATTACAATCAATTCCAAAAAATGGTGGCAATCATACCTCGTGCAGTACACTCGAAATCAAAGCCTGCAAGATGACCAAAAAAAACCACGATTGTCAGCGACGTGCCCAGCAAAACACTACCTTCAACCCCCACGTTAAACGAACGTACTACGGCCTCCACATGATTCAGCCTAACACCCCTGGCCAGACGCCGCTGCGCCAATGACCCCAGATGTGCGATCGTGAGCTTGTCGAGCTGTACAAATTACTTATCGGCGTCATTGTTCATCGAGATCAATCTTGGCTGTTCAACTTACCTCCTTCGGAACAAGATGCATGATGTAGGTGGAACCTGGATTTTGGCGTACAGCGGCAGGGTACTGGTACGGGGAAGGCTAGGGACGGTGTGGACAAGAAGGATGGGGAAAACTAGAATAGTATTTAAAAAGCAATGAGCTCGAGCGCAGAGATTGGGATTTAAACTATCGCAAATGTCTCAATTTCCTGTCGAACACGAAAGGACTGCTGGGAAGAGAGTGGAATTGAGCATTTGGGGTGCCAGTAAGGTGTAGATCCTCTAAAATTTTTTTCCGTCTTCGCTTTTTCCCGTCCACTACCGTGGCTGCGATAAGTACGGAGTACGGAGGTTATTAAGATTTGCAATTCTTGCACTGGTGATCCCCCTGCGTACGGAGGCCAAAGATAAGATCGTAACATATGGACCGAATGGGCTAGTGCAATCGCGGGTGCTCGACCGCGTTAGTCACTGTCTAAGCAAAATTGGGATTCGTGAATGGCTGAATCGGCAACTGACCACTGGGAGTTGGATGATAAGAAGACGACAGACTCAAAGAGGGAGTCAACGTACCTGAGGCTTGGCAGGAATTTTCCTACCTATTTGACTACCCCGCACGTGATCTTAGCCTCAAGAAGCGCCATGCGAGTTAAAATACTTGATTGTTGCCGGGGCAAATCAAAGCGCAATCGTGAGCAAAAACGCTTCCGGAAGTCGGTTAAATTATCCTTGGCAGAAGTGTCTGTTACCTCAGCGATAGAAGTGACATACGATATCCAATCTCTTCGTAGATTAGGGTGGAGCCCCGACCCCCGACCCACACTACTTTAGGAGCCTCAGGGCTCATCCAAACTTAGATTCCTCATAGCTACAATATCATCCAATTTTCCTGCTACTGCTTCACATTAAGACAATCTTCGGGCCAAGATATGCTATCGACGTGGTACAGATCCAGATCCTGATCATAGTGGTGTCAGTAGGCAGATAATTGGACTCGTAGAATTTAAGCTTATCCGATGCACGATAGCGATAGTTTAGCAGGCCATATTTCAAAGATACGCGCGCGGCCGGCAGCGGGGAAGTGTCCAAAAGAATGAATGAGGAAACATCGAGATTTAATGGAAGGAACAGACTTTCTTGGTTGGTCTGAGGCGCCAAAATCGCGGCATGGTTCTTGTCTGCTCCAGTTCGAGAGGGACAGGATCGCCCTTTTAAGTAGCCTTGCGTCACATGAATGACATAAATAGCCGAAGTTTTGAGGGAGGTTATTCTGAACCGCGAACTTGAAAGCATTCTTGAACTTCGGGAGTAAGCCCTCGGCCACAGGGTAGTGGGGAATTGTGCTTCTCCGGAAGGCTGATTGGACACGGTTATTTGGCGGTTTGAAACTGTGACCCTACAAGCCTTCGATTTGCTCCAGCTCTTCTGACGTCAAAGCTCGTAGCTAATGCGAAGGCAGGTGAACCATCAGATCTTGGGGAACATTGAAGATAGATCCTGGATTCCTGGAAACAGGATTCGAGTTCCCAGGGCCTGCATTATCCCTGGAAACTGACACTCTTTCTTAGACCTTCGGAGAGCATAGCAGCTTCCGAACAGCGAGGATGGTCAATGTTACCACAAATGGCCATCCATTGTTATCCATCATAGCGAACGTGAGAGGGCTCCAACCAGAGATGACTATCTGTTTGGTGGTCCACGCGTAACCATTACCTTGCCGCAGTTTAAAGACCATACGATAGTACGTATGTGAATCTTATGAAGACGAAGTTCTTTAAACGTCGCCTTGTGCTTGGAGAGGGGAAATTGGCATCAGAGGTGCGTACCCCTCTTGGCATACCGTAGACAAGTCAGACTGTGTAGACGAGTCAAAAAATCACCTGCAGCAGGGTGGGTCCGTATACCGATTTTGAGAAGGTTCATTCTTCTAGATGTCACATTAATGCCGGGGAAACCTGCAAAAGTCCTTGTCCCGCTCGGTGGTTGCCTGCATATAACGACCGTCAGGCCAAAGACCACCGCTTTAGTTAAATCGGTTGACATCTATACCGTTATGTCACGGGACGGAGGAAAGTATGTTCACATTGTTGGCTTAATTATCGCATAATGCATGATAATTATGCATTCTTGCAACTGGCATTGCGTACGCTAAACCAGTTTGCTAGAGTAACATCGCAAGCCGTTACAAGCCAGCAATATCAGCGTCGTGGGTGGAATTGGAGAGCATTCTGATAAGCTCGTGGACTATGACTATAACAACGCTCTCGCCCCAGATAGATCATTACAAAGCCGATGCAACGAAGTTGTGTACTGGAAAATCATTCTCAAATATGTCGAGTTACTTGACCCAACAACACTACCACCTGCAAAGGCGCCAAACGATGGATTCAGCATAGCAGAAAAACAATCGGCCAGAAAATTCATGCAGGATGCTGGGTATGGGTTGGCTGCCGAAAATCAGCGACAGTATCGAATCTTTTGGAAGAGTCTGTAGGAGATGCGAGAAGCTGGCATTGACAGAATCCTCCTTTATCGCACGAAGGAATTTGATAGTTTCTGCCGAGGGTACCCCAGGAAATCAGAAACGTCGCTTGTAGATTTGATGGTGACCTGGGAAAGGCAATATCGACCTCACATTGAACAGCTCGAGACCAGAATGACAAAGCTCAGAAAGATAGACTTCAAACGCGTTGTCTATCTGGATGAACCCCCACTGGCCAATGCCACGGACAAAAGCCTCTTTATCCAAGACCAATCGCGCCTTATATCGAAAGCACAGCTGGGAACAGTGTCTGGCCACAGAAAAGCCAATGAAGTTGACAGAGACAAGTCTCACTTAATCTCTATCCTCCTAGCGTATAGTGGCTCCCTCTCAGTCTGTCCCATCATTCCGCTATCCGAAGGGATCATTTGGGCGTGTACGTAGGCAAGATTCAATCTTCAGATCACGTCTGCCGTATCAATAGGATACAAAGCCCTTCCAGGAAATTGCGTCTCGGTCAATCGGGAGGCACAGGAGTTTAAAATCAAATAAAGATGTCATTCTCTAATTACTCTGCAAATATGCTAATCACTCATGCACCGCTTCCTCTTACGCCCAGAATGAGTTCGATTCCTGAGGCAGCCGCGAACGAAACCCGTGGTTCATGCCAGTTGCTGCCGACACCTGAGAAACGAAGCAGAGTGGACTACACAGGGCTATATAGGTTCTCTAAGAGAAAGAAAAAGAAGATCGAGGATTGTGCGGAGAATAGCTATATCACTAAAGACACCTCTCAAGACAGAGCGTGTGCACGTGCCTCTTCTTTTACAATATCTGGAGCTTTGATTGCGTAGGGGTCCACCCGAGAAGCCTTCTAGCCCGCACTGATTTGGCTTTGACCATGTAGTTAGCCACAGGACGGCCAGCAGGCGCCATAACTGCCCTGCTCTCCATATCAAGCACTATCATCTCTTCCGAGGCCAGAAGTCCCAGCTTATACGCCTCTTTCGTAATTCTGCGACAGATATCCCCCCAGAAGTATTCACCACCTTCCGCAAGGTAATAGCCCTCAGAATTCCATCAAGCTTTGGATCCTTCGAATACGGCTTCGTCAATCAGGCGAATATATAGACGGGACAGGTCGTGAATGTGAACACGATTCCAGAAAGATTTCCCATCATTTAGCTGGAGCCCCTTGCTAGTTTCAAGAATAAGCCGGGTAAGGTTATACATCTATTCGGTTCTCCGCAAGACAGGGCCCCTTCCGGCTCCGAAAACGGTTAAAGGACAAACAATCGCAGTCTTTAGTGTATCAGAGCCGGCTGCCAAAACAATTTTGTCGGTATTGCGATATACAGCTTTGTCTTAAGAGATAATAACCTTTATTAGTGTATGCAGGATTTGTGATATGTAGCCTTCGTATGTAAACTTACCTGATAAAGAAGTAAGCTCAGAAATCCCCTACCAATCCTTAAAAATAGGTATCGGATTTGGAGTAATTTGGATTTCATGCCCAGAGTCCAGAAGAATATCAGTGCCGCTTGTATAAATATAGACACCTCCCCCCCTCTTCCGCAGTCCGTTGACAATGGCTGTCGCGGATGGCACATTGTCAGCACTGGTCGCAAAATGAAGGACCAGCTCATGTTTTGCTACTTCCTCCTCAATAATAGCCGGTTCGAACATAGCAAAAAATAGCCTTAGTTTTGGGTACCTTGCTTTGAATTGCACTTCATGAGCTGGGTTTCGTACGAGACAAGTGATACTATGTTCACATTCAGGATGCGTACTCAGAAGCTCATATAGGACGTCTCCTCCTGCATAGCCACTCTGCATTTATGATACAGTCAGCAAGAGCGCCAACATGGCCTTCAAAGAGCGGGTTCATTGTACCGTCCCTGTGAGAAAAATCTTTGGCTGTAACATATCTTAATATTCAAGACTTTGAAACCTATAATATACGGCGCCTGTGAAGTTAATTCGCCCCAGAATCGTGGTATGATTCCTTTTATAGGAGATAACGGTGATTTAAGATTACCAATTCTTAGCATTATTAATACGGGGTCAACTCATGACCAAGCAATTCCTATCTGTCTTGGGCCCATACTGAAATACGAGCCTTGCAACCTTAGGCCATATCGGCAACCCACAGATTATATCAAAGTCTAGGAGATAATGTGGCCCCGCTTTATTTTACTCAGCGTATGAATGAGATAAGCACGGAGTCCACTCCGTGACTTATTTGACTTGGCATATCACTTAGTTCTAGACATCGCCATTTCCCAGAGTCCATGCCCTTGTAAAAGATCCTGCAATCCTTAGTAGCCTTAATTTTGAAATATCCTCTTAATGGATCATTTCAGGGCACTGGCGACGTGCGCTGTCGCATACAGTGCCCCTGAAACGAAGTAACGGAGTGTAAGGGGTTACAAACTGTACCTAACTAGCTTCTTTTGGCTTTGCCATTACAACAACACCCATCAGCCACTGGCTCGTGAAGTAAGTACATAAAGGTTAGAATCCTACCCTACGACCATCGTAAGTCCTTAACCCAATTATTGTATGCTCCTATTCGCTGCTGTGCCCTGAAACGTACGAAGTGACAGGAAGGGAAACGTCCCGCACGTGACAAAAAGGTATAAAGTCTCGCGACTCAACAGACTGCCAAAAGTCCATACAAATTTGTGGCGAATTGTGTCCAAAATCACCCTGATGGCCTGCTGTAACTCATCTCCTTCATTGAAGACATCTCGTTCGATGTCATTGGAGGCTATTTTTATAGTGTCATTGGACGCAGCTCTTACCGGAAATGGCTCGAGTTGTATTTCTCTTTTTTCTTCTTCCGCTCGTTTGTTGGCTAGACTTGGGTCTCGTGTTTTGGGCGACCTCGATCCTAAAATGTCTTATCGGCTTCTGTTGTTGTATTCCACAACTTTAACTTTTAACTACGATATGACCTTTTTAGCCACAACGCCTCGGTCTACCATTAGGCCCGCTATATTGGACTGTTACCGCATAAAAGAATCTTTCTCAGCTAATCCTCAGCTACGCTCTCTTAATCCGTTGCCATGATCTCTTGTTCAACAAGGATTTTCATTCTACTACTTTCCCTTAAAAATCAAGTGTCGAGACATGGAGCAGTAACTTACCACTAGACATGGGTTATACCGAGTGACCCGCTTTCCTTTGTGTTTTGTATAGCATTTTAGTATTCTGGGCATTACGGTCGTCGTAACACCGTGTACCTAACCATCCATAGGGTATTTCAACCTGCCCCATGATATTCGTTCTTTCTTCAATCAATCAACCTTTGCATCCCTATATCGTATGCGTTTATTCAGCCTTGGATAAAGTTTATGAGAACGGCGGTCGCTTCTTCGTGCTCATGAATGTAGTATCGTTGCAATTGGCCCCACTATACGCATCCCCAGAACATCACGGCGTGGGACCGAACCACTACTTGCCAGATAAGCCTAGCAATTTGACTGCGATCAGTTATCGGATGTGGGAACAGGTTGCCAATGTCAACAATGCTTTTAAATATCAGACCCCCTTCGAACTGATAATCCGAAACCGATATCCTGGGTCTAAATTCGCTATCATGGACATGTTGGATTGGTATGTTCAACCCCAGGCAGGCACGTAAGATTCTTTCCTAACTCTCACAAGTTTACCTATATTTATACTAACCCAACATTATACCTCAATAGGAGCGCTCCGGCCAATGTCACCGGGTTCAACAAAAATTGTGATGTCAGTGAAACTACGTGCACTAAGCTACCCTCTTTCCTGTGGTTTGATGAGCTTCATCCATCGCCGCGGACGGTCCAAATTATTGCCCAGAATTTTACTAATGTCGTGAAGGGGAAAAGCAAGTGGGCAACCTACTAGTAGAGGAAGGAAGACGGGTCTTTCTTTGTGCCTTCCTCATTTCATCCAGCAGTCGAGCTGCTGTTTACCTATGTGCCTGTTGATTTTAGAGGTTGCGTCTCTAGTGTGCAGACTCTATGTATTGAATGCTGGGACACTGCCCGCGCTGCCGTAAAGACTTAAGAAGGCAAGGCAAGCTCCACGTAGACAGGGTTGAATTGAGTTCGTGACTTGGCTTTTTGGACAGGCTAGTTGTAGAGGAAATGACACTAACAGCGCCCACGGCACTGCTGGCACAGGAAGCGAGAAGAGAACAGGGAGACTGAGTCAATTGATCTATCTAGGAACAGGAAGACGAAGACGACTAGGAAAAAGGAAGAAGAAGCAGAAGGGAACAGAAGAGGGTCTATAAGCCCCTGAAGCACAAAGGAAAGGAACAAGGCCTGGTCCTGACAGGAAAACCCCGGCCTGCTTCGTGCAGGGCCAAAGAAGACGACAAACCCTGCAAACCCTATCGAGGTCAAAGGGATCGAGTCATCAGATACATGTAAAATTTCCTAACCTAAAGAGTAAAGAAATTTTTACTTCAGTACTGCTTGAAGAGGATAATCATATCTGTGCATTTCTGCTCAGCACGTCGTGCCCGCGGTGGGTGTAGGAATCTCCAATAACATATCTTCAATGGCGACGCCACACGGCAAGCGTCGGCCAGGAGGCAAACGATCGGCGTCGCCCCGCAGATTGCCCCATGATGGCCAAATAGGTCAGAGTACAGGGCGTATTCATCCGAATAGGTCATCTTGGCATGTCGCACATGGGACGTGGAAGACCGGGCCCGGATCGTGTGGAACTCAAAGACTATGGGGCGGGGATATACCGTGAATTATTGGTTACCTGCTTGTGTAAGCAGACCCACATAAAGGGGAGATGCTCTATATAAATTGGGCATTTTCCCTCCGTATGATCAAGGATTTTTAAACATTCATTCCTATGCTATTGTGTCGCGCGATATTGTAAGTGTGAGTCTCTAAATCAACTATTATATAAGTATCTACTCTCAGCTAACGAAATACATAAGCCTCTCGAGCTTTTTTCTTTAGCTATTGTTCCTCGAAGCCAATATTATGAAGCCAATAACTGCCGCCGCCGTCATTGCAAATTTGGCATCTCAGACACACGCCTTCAATCATGTGTGGTATTGGTGTGGCAAGTCTACTACTACTTGTACGAATGAAGGAAAGCCGTGGAATGGAGTTTATCCGACCTACGACTGCGGACATAAATTGAAATGGGACAACTGTCAAGCAGCTTATGGAAAGTGATATCAAACTACGGATGAATGGGACGACTGGGAAAAGAAAGGCGGATTTAGAGACTGCTGTCATGCGGCCGGGAAGGGCGCTTGCTACAGTTATCAAGAGTAGGTAGCCTGCGTGAGAGGGACTGAACTTGTCGAAGTCTCTGCCTATTGCACGGTGGATTGTCGCGGTGATACCTTCCGGCTGTAGAAGAGGGTAGAAGAGATGATGCAGCCCTTTCCGTCGGCCGCATGAGCAATCGATACACGCATCATCGTGGTTGAGTCGCTCGTGGTAATCTGCAAATTGGTGTGGTGAGTCCTTGCTACCAGCATATGGTGGAGCGTTGGCCGATGGTCCCCACCGAAATAGCAGTTTTAGGTAGCTTGAATTGCATGGGGGTTGAAATACTCATAAGAACACCAATGACTCGGGCATTACTAGCATGCTACTCTCTGAAGCAAGTTGTTACGCCCAGGCACATGAGATATCAAATCAACAGTGGTAGCATTCAACGAAGCAACTAAGCATGAGAGAGGAAGAAGGAAAGAAGGAGAGATGGCGAGAGAAAGCTCTCTAAATAGTTAAATTAAGTTAGTAGATGGATGCCTTAGGAAACAAGCATCAACTAGCAGACATGTGAATGGTAACACAAGTCACCTGTAATGGCTTCGGATGGTCCTTTCTGTGTGAGAGTATTTTCAGTGCGAGGCCTGTAGTTCGTTACTCAGCAATCATCGGCTACAATAGTGGCCTATCCTACTCCGTAGTTGAACAGAAAATGCGCCGGCTTCCCCCGAGAGGTTCCTAAATTGATCATGCTCGGAAAGATTGTTACCCCGTGTTACCACCATTGTTCTATCAATGTCCGATCTGCATAGTACTAGCCTACCGCAACTGACGTAGGGGAATTGCTACAGACACAGCAGCTTTTTGCTAGCCGCACAGCAATTATGTAATACCCGCATCACATAATCAATTTTGCCAAGAATCCTTACCATACATTACCGCAGCAACTGCATAACTTACCACTATAGCAACTGCATTACTTACCACGATAGCAACTGCATTCTATCAACTACTACTACTATAAGAGCTTCTCTTTCACTGATTCCATTTCATATTATTTACATATCCTATTATACCCTACATGAACGAATTGTATGGCCAATTTCTCCAAAGTTTAAGCACTTTGATAGCGCTTTCTTCTTGATAACCCTTTGTGTTACGATACATGCCTGGGTCACATGATCATACACTTAGGCCAAAAAGACCACTATATCTGCGATCAGCGGATATGACCCAGGAGCCAATATATATAGTAGCGCACATTTATTGTTATTGCATAACACTTTGGTCCGATGATATGTTGTCTTGCTTTGATATCCTTTGTGGCAGTGGTAATATAGACTCAAGTATTGGCAGATACTCTGATGCCTCATTACTAAGGCCTATCTGTTACGGACCTCGAGAGGGGCGGTTGGACCGCAGATAGTTGAGGAGCAACCGTGAGCCAATCATTCCGCGGACGCTAAGGATTAGCGTTGTCACGTGCGTTTCGGTATACTTGGGGTGCCCCAGGGGACACCAAGTCAGACATTCGGAAAGAGAGCCAGAAACGGCCTGCGGCTAACCGTTACAACCAATACCCACTTAATCGATGGGACGGTTAGCGCAACGCAGGAAACGGCTACCATTTTACCCGCACCCAGATTACGACCCAAATGTGGAAAGCCGGTAACACCACGTGACGACCAGGATATACTCCCGGCGCGATTCCAAGGAGTATACGCAGGAGTATACCGTGACTCCAGATCTGCCGCGAAGGAGTAGATCCGGGAGTAGGAAGGGCTAGATATAAAGGACACTCATTCCACATCATGTATTTAGTTCTTCGCGATCAATCTCACATTGTTACTTGGTTACTACCTTTAGTACTTTGCACTTCACAGTTCACCTTCAAGACAACCCAACCGACAAGTAGGGGACTCACTCAGTGGCAACATTTAGTGATTGATTTACTTGGCGCGCACTTCTGGCACGTTCTGCAAGATACTCAACAGGACCCGAACCCGACGTAAAGCTTTGCATAGCATCGGTACGGTTGCGAGATACTCTTGGAATTCACAGTTGGAATCAAGCAAGTATAACCCGTGGATATTCTAACTCACAGTGACCAGTCGGCAACGCGTAACACTATCCTCCAAAATTGATGTATATCGCTTAGTGGAATCGGTTGATGTGTTGATAATAAACTAGCGATTCGGTGGGTATATAGAAGGCCAATTGTCCTAGTGAATATATTAGTACAATTTGATAAAGGGGCTTCGGGAGTAGCTCTTTTAGCTATACTAGCTTGCTCAGCGATTAGGCGGAGCGAATATTGTGATGTACTCTTTGTAATATTCGAATAGAGAAAATATAAGCAAAAATTGAGTGTTTTAATCTTGTCTTCTGCAAGATTAGACGAAAGTGTATAGTACTGAGCTTTTAATGTATTGTTAATTCGTTCAAACATAAAGAGTATATTACCTGTTGACCCCCATAATACTTTTTTAGAAAAGTATAAGAGCCTTCTACTCGTGAGGTTGCCTAATTTCCAAGATAAAGATATTGCCCTACCCACGCCCGAATAAACATCTCTTTATAAGTTAGCTAGGTTTGTTTAATATACCGAAGGGCAGTAGGGGCAATTTAACTAAAATTAGTCTCAAACTTAGCTAGTTGATCTTGGTATTCAATAACGGTAGATAAATTAATAAGGCTTTTCTATAATTGTATAAAAGCTTCAAATTCCTTATTCGAAGAAAAATACTGCTTCGTCTTTGCAAGTATATTCTTGTTAATATACTAAACGCAAAGTAAGTGTGGACTTTTCGGATAAATCGCTGTAATTGCACCTAATAGAGCAAGGTCTCTGTCAGTGTAAAGGACTAGGGGAAAAGGTAAGGGATTAAGCTATAAAAAGAAAGTCTGTAAAGTCTATTTATAGCTTTCTTCCTGCTTATTTTGCATAAAGCAGAAAGCAATACTATAGGATAAATTTGATGGCGAAAGACTGATAATATATAAAAGAGGCATCTTATATCGATTCGTCTTATACGTACAGTCTAACAGAAAGACCCTATTATGTTGATTAGTATATATAATTGATTGTGGGTGGGCAAACATAAAGAAAAGGATATAGCCTTCAGTATCCTGCTTAAATGCATATCTCTAATTATTATTTTGAAGTGGATACCCAGAGAGCGTTACCCATTATAATTTATGACTGTTAGTGACATAACCTATCCTGTCATGAAAACTCGAAAACAAACTTCGCGGTTATATGCAAGAGTATTGAAGCACCGCAGGGCAAAGTTGTTTATGCCTTTTTCGCTTAGGCGCAGGTCAGCTTCTGTTAGAGGATCTGCTACCTTTGCTTTTTCAAGCGACTCTTTGAGTAAGGCAGCTTTTGCGACCATCTGCCATAGAGAAACATCGTCCTTAGCAGCGTAATTGGTAATGTAGTAGATCAGTGACAGGGATTTGGCAACCGTTGGAATCCACGATATGTTATGATTCGCTAGTGAGGAAATCCGGAGCTGTAATATATCGTATACAAGGTACATAAAAGTTTTGTGGCGAGCGAATCTAGATAAAGTTAGTAGAGAAATTGTGTACTTATAGAAAGAACGTACCTTCTACTATAGTGTCTTATAGCCTACTCTATAAACGATCCGAAAGATATCGGTAAAGGACGGTCCTCTAGATAGCCTCTAACGCCGATCGGAGATAGAGTTGGAAAAGCGATAGTAAGGTACTAGGGGTTACTCTATTAATTTAGTAAGGTGATTTGGCTACGCATAGTATAAAAAATTACGGGTAAATTACGTCTATTATATAAGGTGTTATATCGTGTATTACATTATTGTGCTGTCTTCTCGTTCCCCGGCTGGAAGCGGGTAGAGACTAATTCTAATAAAGTATTCAGAAGTCGCTTATCGGGATTCTAACGTTCACTATTAATGTTAGTCGAAACTAAGCCCGCGGTTAGAGGATCACTTTCCCTAGTATCAAACCATTATCTTAAGCAGCTTAAAGCTCATTTTCGTAGTTGCTAGTACGTAAGGTGAGCGTATAACCCTCTCTCTCAACCGAATCAGGCTTATCAAGATAAATAATGTTGTTACGCAACTCAGGCGGAATAAAGTCATCAGTCCAGTCTTGTATTATACGGTAGTTAATGTTAACATCTTAATAGACCTTGTTGTGTTGAACCAAATATTGCAAAGCAGCGAGCACCTTAAGCTTTCGTACAAGTAAGAAGGGCCTCAAATCTGCATTAGCTAGAGGATATTTTCCTGCCCAGAGAACTTTATTTAAGTTATCCAAGCTCAAGTCAGGACTTAGGAGAATATATAGAAGCGGTTCAGGATCCTGCGGTATTACAATAAAGTGGGCCCGTATTGCAAGATAGCTAACTAATAATAAGTGTCCTCCGGGGCGTAGCTCAAGCACAATTCCAACAGGGTGACACTTAGCAATCAAACACTCCTTAACAGGAGTTAGATCTTAAAGGACACTAGGATAATGTTAGCACAGCGTCATATTCACAAGATTCCTGGCAGAAAACTTTGGGACTGATTGTTGAGAAAGTGAAGTCAGATATATCGAACATAAGTTCCAGGTGTGTTTATGTTAGCTACAAAGGTCAAGTTTGCTGCGTAAGAGTCGCAGTCTAGGATCGTCTTTCACAACGTCATAAATATCTGTGACGTAGAGAAGCCTTCCGCAAGAGGCATATACGGCTCGTTTGCTAGCAGCCTCTATCGTATCTTCATATCGGCCCACAGCTGAACGAATATATGCAAGAGATATATATAGGGGAAACACATTTGACGCTTCTACGCGCTCATCAAGCTCTTGCCTCAAAAAGGTCGAGGCATTTTCCGGAAGATATTGTATTCCGTTTGGGCCTGAAGGAGCTAGCTTTCTCCGTTTAGGGTATAGCCCGATTTGATCGCACCCGGTCCGTTGTTGGTCGCACGAAGGTTCAATGATAAGTTGGTGAGGAGCCTCTTGCACCTTTGGGGCTGCAGGCGCCAGCGGCGGTAAAGGTCTTTTCGTTCCACGAGCTTGTTGTGCAGGTTAGCTGCAGGAAGGTTCAATAATATGTTGCGATGACACAAGGCTTGAACCGTAGAGGGGTTTTTGGATCTTTAGTTGGCAGGAGCAGTGTACTCGTAAGTAGAGTGAGCAGTATAGAAGCCTGGTAGCGAGATCGAACGGCAGGGGAGCCAGTGTAGGTAAAATAGTAAAGGTGGGTTACAAGAGTGCGTTAACAATGCTGCAACGATGAAACTAAGCTAAGAGGTTCCACGACTTTAGGTAGAAATGCATGAGTGACAAACTTTACAAGAATAAATGACTATAATAGGCGTAATAATGGTCGCTGTTATAGTAGAGGGCAGTCATGATGTCGACGAAGTTGGGCCAAAAACCTAAACATTGCAACACATCACAAGCCGGCGAATATCCTGACAAGCACTCAGGCCTTAAATGTGTGAGAGAGGCCACCGGTCGTTGAGGAAAATTATCTAGCTCTCAGCTCAACTTTAACACTTCATCGTTATGCGAAAGTAGCAAAAAGTTTAAAGAGAGAGAGATCATGGGCAGGGATTATGAGAGCGAAGCCGAGAAATTTCTTTTATGCGGTAGTAGTCGAAGACTCGAAGGTATCCGGTCTAGCGGAAGACCGAGGTTGTGGCAGCACGGGTCATAGCACGGTTAAAGTTGCGGAAGAACAACAGCAGAACCCGATAGGATCTTTCGGAATCATGCTAGTCCCAAAAATCCCCACAAAACGTAAATAGCAACCCAAAACACGTGCTCCGAGTCTGGCCAACAAAGGAGCAGATTGGAGCAGAACAGAGAACAACAAACTAGAGTCGTTTTCGGTAAGAGCCGCGTCCAATGACACTATAAGAAACGGCACCAACGACATTGAAGCACGGCGAGCCAATAATCGCGATTTTGGACAAATTTTGCCGGTCTGTCGAGTCACGAAACATATAGTTTTCAAGTCACGTGCGGGAAGTTTCCCCTTCCTTTCACATCGTTCGTTTCAGGGCATGGCCGGGAGACATTGTAGTGCGTTCGTAGCGTTCGGTCAGCGGAGGGCCCGGGGTCGATAGTATCCCTTTCACTCATTCTTCGTTTCAGGGCACGGCAACCTCCAAGTCCCGATTCACTAGCGAAGAGACCTCAACGTGTCCTCTGTATAGGTCGTTTTTCTACTTCAATCAATCAATCACACATTTCTGATGATTCCGGTAGTCCTCATTCGCTACTATGCTTACTAGTTCGTACGCTTTTAGCTGGTTCTGACATTTTTCTAAGCTGCGGCTCCCGCCGTACGGATTCAGGGCATTGGACGAGGACTTGGAGGATACAGCTATCTACATCAATCAATTTACTTTCTGCTTTTGGAGCATACATGCTGTCCACTTAACTGCGTACACAGTACCTAGCTGGTGATACCACATGCATACTTTTTGCGCTTCTTTTGAACAACTTGGGAACTGGAGATTTTGGTTCGGCTATTTTTTGCCTGCTTCGTTTGGATCGGTCTGTTTTACATATATGGTTTTGCTCACTCTGAATGCATCCATCTGCAGATTGGTGCAATTTATCACAAAAGTACCTAGTTTCGCGTCGTCATCGCCCTACTATAACCTCTACCCATATTATCGTCGTCTTCCCTCTTCCTCTTCCTCTAGGTAAAAGTCGACGCCCTCCCTAGCCTTCTTAATCGCATTCACAACCTGCTTCACGTTGTCCCAAATTCGCGCGCGGTTCCGCAGCCCCTTTAACCGGCCCCAGTTTGACCTAATTCGACAAAACACAATATACCAGTTGGTTTTATCCCGTGGTAGGGTGATTGGTCCTATGTCTAGAATCTCCTGCCAACTAGGGTGCTCTGGCGACTCCCATTCGGGCTCATTCGCAACAAATTCGTCATAAATCTCCGGTTCGTATTGACGAATTATTTCACGCCGTTGCTCAATATCCCGAATAAAATTCGCGTGCACTTGTTTCTCATCAAGCAAATCACGAGCTGCAACGGTTGCCCAATAGTAGGGATTCGTCTGGGGGGACCATGCTTCGTATAACCAAGGCATCTCATGGAGGACAAATTGACGAAAGAACCAGATTGGAAGGTGCGTGAATGCACGAGAGGAGAGTCGAAGGCTAGCAACATCGGAAGAGTTGAGGTGGCTGGCAATTCTTTGGCTGATTTCAGGAGGTAAGACCAGAAAAGGATCTTGCGAGAGGAGACGACCCGCCTGTAGAGACCTGTTCTCGAAGGCGCTGTTGTGCACGCTGAAGCTTTCATCGGTGGAGATAGCTGACTCCAGGATGTCCCTAAGGCCAGGAACAAACACTGGATTTGCAACGAGATATTCATGCCCGACTTTATGCTGCCAACACTGGTCTGTTGCATCCACAACATCCTCATGATATTTCACAGGAAAATTCTTCCGCTCAATACATGCCCGGTCTCTAATATGGACCAAGGTGTCAAGGTCGACGCGGTCGTTGCATAGTCTCGTGGCCTGTATATAAAGCTCAAAGCAAGTTGGATGGAAGGGAAGCGCGATGCTTCTCAGTTCCTCTTGGGTCTGTTTTCGAGGAATTGGTGTGGATGAGCAAACGAAGGTGAAGATAACAAAGCACAACATGATAGAAAGGAGAACTAACCGTCTCAAGAACAAAATTCGTTTCGGTTGTGACGCGGTCATCAGCACCATACCGGACGGGGTAACAGTCCAACCAGGTCCCTGAAGACGGCATCCTCTCAGCAATACCGGTCAGAAAATAGTGGCTTTCATGCTCAAATTCGAGGTCATCAGATTGGGGTTTCGAGCCTGGTTTCTTCCAAAGGATACCTTGGACAGTATGGCAACCTCTCATCTCCTCCGTGGAAATATGCTTTCCAATGTACGCCTGATCATGTCGGCAGCCTGGGCCCCCGATATGCTCTAGGCGGCTTGCTTTCGCCAAAGCAGCCACATTAGCCTGACGTCCACCGTTGTTGAGTTTGAAGTATAACGGCGCACCCAATGGCGAATCTAGAGGCAGAAATTCCGTGTCAAACTCCGGAGAGTCCGGGCCCGGTACCTTGAAAAGCCACTCTTCAGCCTCGGTTCGCTCGAGATTGTCAACATCCTTGGCATTTTCGGAGATACCTTCATCTCCGCTGGCCTGTGAGTCGTACTCCAGGATTTCATAATCTGAAGCACCTTGGTATTCGTAATTAGGGTCATCCGTCAAGATCCCTTCTTCAGGATCATCTTCATACAGCCAAAATGCTGCGGGATCTTCCCACCACAGACCTGAGGGATCCGGCCGGAACACCATACCACAGCCTGTTGAGGATGAGCAACTCTTTTGGCCAGCTTCCTCCTCCTCTTCCTCCTCCTCTTCATCATTCTCGCCACAGCGTTGTAAACGCTCGAACTCTTTTTGTTCCTTATCCCTGTGGAATGCACGCCCCTCAATCCAGCCATTCCTGTAACCCGCCCTCATGGCTGCCGATCTCGACTCGTCTTTCATCCGAACCCGGTTGATGTTGAAGCTGACTCCACAAAACTGGCATGGCACCTAAATCCAGCTCTGCATCAATTCGACTGGAAGGGAGTAATGCAAACAAAAGGGATAGAAAGATGATCCTTACCTCCCAGTAACCTACGTGAATTGGATGTTTTTCAGTTTCCGTGTCCGAGCCGGTTCCAAGTATAAGATCAGAACTCACCCATCTCGTATACTGTTCAGTTTGCCAATCTTCTTGTTGCAGGACTCAATTGAGAATTTCGAAGCAGAATTCTTCACGAAAGTGTTTTTCTTTCGTGCGAAGGTGTGTCGAATTTTGTCTTCCGGAGCTTCATAGCTTCCCCCTCTTTTCGAAAATACGAGCGCAAGTCCACACTAGAAAAGCTTATTTACGAGGTCACTTCGTGTTCAAAACAACCATTTCCACATTTCCACATTGTTTTCCTGCTTTCCTCACCCACCATCGATCAGTCTTCATACACCTTTCCAACACGCTTCGGAACTCACTAAAACCGAAGTTCCAGATGCCGACGAAGCGGATATGCTAAGCCTAAACCCTAAAACCCTAAGCCCGTTTCTACATCAGGAACAGAAGATTTTGACTGGTGACGCGCTGTTGCACGCTGTGGCCCTGAAACGAAGCAAGTACGAAAAGTGAAACGTTGTTGAGTGGTGATAACTATGAAAATCGAACACTTCGATTTGAAAAGGCACTGGAAAGGTACACAGGTATGTCCGCTAGGATCAGCCAATTATAGGGTTTACTTAATCGCACGACACTTTTTGTCACCTCGCACGACATACTATACCCAATTAGGACTAGCGCCCTATTCGATACATCGTCTTAGAAATCTCTCCATAAAGGACCCGTGATCAGTAATTATACTCCCCCAGCCCACATCTACCTCTATGGTACCTACCCTTATCATCACCAATCTATCCACGTGATATTTGTTTACTTACGTGATGTTTGTTTACTTTAGTCATGTGAACAAGAGTCGATTTCGGCAATGTTTCTCTCCAATGACATTGAAAGGCTTCCTCCAATTATAGAGCAAGTCTTCCACCAACGATTCTAAAAGCTCCCCTCCAATGGCATTGAAGCACGGCGAGCCGATCATCGCAATTTTGGACAAATTTCGCCACGATTTTGTATGGGGGTTTGGCAGTCTCACGGATCCTCCCAAACACAAACAATAAGGTTTTGAAACACGTGCGGGAAGTTTCCCCTCCTTCTCACTTCGTTCGTTTCAGTGCATTATCTGTTCCGTGTTTGAATGGTAATATCTAACTAGTGAAGTGGGGAAGCTCAGGCAGCCTGGTCGGTATGGGCAGGTCAAGGCACGAGAGAGATAACAGCAAGAGGAGCAGGAGGAGCCGAACAAAACACCAACAGCAAAACTGCCGCGATAGAAACCAGTCTGAATCGCACGGTATATCTCCTTCCTAAAAGTAGGAAACGCCGTTACTCTATCGACGGAATCGTATGGACGTCATATTCGGTGGCCGACAATAAAGAAAAGTATAGAAGATAAAAACGAGAGACCAAAATGGATAGCCTCCCAAAGAGCAGAACGTAGCCTCTTCTTCTTGTTTCCTTATTCTCTTCCTCTTTCTCGTTAACTGTCCTCCTTCCTGCTTCTTGCTTTTCCTTTTTCTGCAGAAATCCTCAAGAGAAACCATACAAACAAGGCCGCAAAACGAAATTGACTAAGCCCCTAGGTCACTGGATTCCCCACTACACTAGGTATGTGTGTATTACCTATCATAGCTAGACAGCGGTGTGGGTGCGCCGAATGTCTGAAGGGCACAGATGCTACGTTAAGTACCCCGCATTGACAAATTGGTTGATACCCTGAATCGCAAAGGATGGTCCAAGAACATAGCTCGATAAAAAGTAATTTTATGAAAGGGGCCGGATAGCTAGTATCTACTGTAATAGGCACGCGTTGCGCGCTGTACTTCCAAATCCTCTCATATTGTTCCTATCTCCTATCTTCTTTCTCTAATTTCACAACAGGATGTAAACTTGGCAATCGCTACTTAAGGCTGAAACAGGTCGTCATCGTAATCTTCAAAAAGTAGCGGCATCTTCTGTCGAAAGTCCTTTGTTTCTACCGCCTCCTGTGTTTCAGTACATAGGGTCATGGACCAGTACCAGAAACCTCGTGAGGCAAGCAGTCTATCAATATAATCGTCGAATGAATATCGCGTCTTATATAGCTCCTCCCCACAATAATGAAAGGCGACGTGTTCGCCTGGCTGACCCCACACCTTGGAGCTACTGCCAAGGCGTGGAGGTGGTTGGAGAAACGCAACGCAAGCTTCCGGCACAAACATGTCGAATGGTTTCACAGAGCGGAATTCTTGGCGTTCAGCAACATCGTCGTCGCTCTCTCCCTCACTTTCTCCCCACCATATGATCCCTTCCCACTCGTCAAACACCTCCTTTAATGGTAGGATCCGAACAAAACCTTGATCGCTCATGTTGCGTGCCGCGATCTCTTTCACCGTGTGCCGCCATTCCAGCCTCACCCAGCCCAAGGCACGATAAAAGTTCTCCACCCCTGTGGGTAGTTGGCCCTTTGTGCGCTGCAGAACGAACCGGATATCCTCCTCGTTTGTGGGAGGGCCGATTTCAGCCTCGAGAACTTCGATATGCGGTGTTTGGCGCAGGGAGACGAAGAGGCGTTCAAAGCGGGTGCGAATGTCAGCCATTGTGTCGAGGCTTAAATCATAAATATAAATATATCCTCGGAGTTATGAAACCAGCCCAGTAGGGCGATTAAGTAGATTGCGAGTACCAGATAGACCAAGATGCAGAAGTTACAGGAAGAAGAGGGGAATCCAACTTAATACATCCTGTCGAACCACGTGACTTATACAGGAGCCAAATACGAGACCCACTTTCAGGGTCTTTGTTCAAATAGGTGCTTTTACGGAGTACAACACGCAGGAATGGAGAAAAATTGATGCTATTTTAGGATCTCGTATCAACCCGTTGGGCGTTGGCAAGGCGAGGTGTTCGAAGTACTGTACCCTTCGTTTTACAGTATAACCCACAATTGCCAAGCGGAAAGGTGACTTCACCGTAATTTGTTCTCCCGAAGTTATACGAGGAAGCTAATTGAAAGAAGAGAATAAATTGCGAGTTGAGTCATAGACTGAGGAACGCCAGGTCACTGGCTATTGACACAGGGCCAATGCAAAGAAATTCTGGAATAACACAGCCACCAGGCTTGGCCCCTGTCTTCTTGATTTGCCGCTTTCCCATGTTTAACTATTGAAGGAGGTTCGTTAGTACGCAGGTCGGATTGCTTGTGAATGTTAGCGTGGTACTTCCATCCCTTGGAAGCGGTGAGAACCACCATGAAGCTTTACCTAATATAGTATAGCTTAATACACTACTAATTCACGATACTTCTTCTATTTACTTCCATGAATTTACTTACCCCTTATTGCTTCCATACTACTACCGTACTACGTACTTCTACTACTACTTCCACTATGTCGACTACTATAACTCCAGTGACCCCTACGCGGAAGACTAAAACGTGGCTTACTCGGGATCAACGGCTTACAGAGCGTGCACTACGATCGCAGAACCTAACATACGAGCAAATTGCTTCACAGTTAGGTATAACCTATCGCCAGGTTCAGACTGCTTGCACTGCAGATAGACCTACGCCTCGCAAATCTCGTGGTCAGCGCCGTAAGCTATCCGAGGACCAGCTTGACGAGACCATCGAGTTTATCACATCCTCGAAGGAAACGCGTCGAACGCCATATGAGACAGTCATCAAGGAACTACAACTTCCGGTTTGCAAATCAACCTTACGCAAGGCTCTCGCCCGACGTGGATATCATCGATGTAAGGCTCTTCGAAAACCACCGATGACCGAGCGCACACGCATAATACGTTTGAATTGGGCCTTAGAACATGTGAACTGGACTCGCGAGCAATGGTGTAAGATACTCTGGACCGACGAAACTTGGGTTACGTCGACATATCACCGGCAAATCTACGTAACACGGCGATCTGGTGAGGAATTCGATGAAACTTGCGTTCGGGAGCGTTATCAACGCCTTGGCGGATAGGTGTTTTGGGGTTCGTTTTTCGGTACTGAGAAAGGACCCTGCTTATTTTGGGAGAAGGACTAGAGTAATATCACAGTTGAGAGCTACGGGGAGCATATCTTGCCACTAATTGATGGCATTGCGCGGCTTACTCGCGAGCGTGGAGATTCAGAGTTAATGATTATGCAAGATGGCGCGCCTTCTCATCGAAATATCCTTACGATCAAAGAGCTACAGAATCGTGGGTTAAATATCATCGAATGGCCACCTTATTCGCCTGATTTAAACCAATTGAGCAGGTATGGGACTGGATGAAGGAGTGGATTGGCCAACGTTACCTTATGCTTCGTGATCGTAAGCTTTCCTGCGATCAATTACGTCGAGCAGTCAAGGCAGCATGGGAAGCCCTACCAACGTCATTCCTTGAGAAGCAGATCGACTTAATGCAAGCACGTTGTCAAGCAGTCATTGATGCGCAGGGGGGTGTTAACCCTTATTGATTCAGTGTTGATTCGGCGCATGATTCGGTGGATGATTATTGTATGTAATGCTTAATGATAATGTTTAATAGAAATTTGTATGCTTAGAGATATACTACACGTATGCCTAAAAATATATATTTATTGCTGTAGGTAATATAATACGAATAATACGTAATTTGGATGTTAAATAACATTTAGCTGTAATATAAAATTGGCAGAATCTTAGTCAGAAACAAGGATGGAAGTACCACGCTAACATTCTCAAGCAATCCGACCTGCGTATAATTTTCGTCATCCCACAGTACTGTCAGTTGCTCATTTGACTTAAAAGACTCATGTGACCAACATCTCTAACCCTCTTCAAAGTCCCTCGCTCTATCAGCTGAAGTTCTTTGTCTCGGCCCCTTTCTAAATACGAGTGGGTGAGCCCGAATTAATGATGGCTGCTGAAGGCTGTGACGCAAATGAGAAGAATGAGGAAAGGGAAAAATTGCGCAGGCAAACGGGAAAGGGAAAGAAAGCATGCGGGCGATCTTACCTGATCGTCACTACTAAACTAAGTACACAGTACTACAGTGGCACCGCCGGTCTGAGACCACCCGAAGTACCTTCCTTTACCGCCTCCTTATTGAGGACATGCCGCCAACTAACTACAGCTTATGAGTGGTGCGGCCACTAACTATTTGCTGGCAGAAAATAATTACGTGATACCTTCGCCTGGTTCTCAGACTTTTGCCGCGCCGCTCTAAGTGATTCAACGTGATTTTCGGGGCATTACGGTATTATTTCGATGACTCATCCTCAGTAGATCTGGGGATTGGCTCGAGAACCTGCTTATCATAATACTCAGCCAGTCAGCTGTTAAAGATAGGCTACAGTGCACACTGGAAGATTGACGTGAGTGTAAAGAGGATGAAATTATCTAGAAGGGCGAAGAGGTCTAGATAGGTACGAGTGGGGCCGCTCCGCCCGCTTGGCGGCCACGTGACCCACAATCTATTTCCTACACCCCCTAAGCGCTAAGCCCAGGCTTTTCCTCTGATTGAATGAAATTGACCGAATTAGCGTAAAACCACCCTGCGTAGGGCGTAAAAACCGCCGAATGTGCTGTAGAATAAGACGAAATTGAGGTGAAATCAAGGGCTAATTGGGTAGCCGGCGCATGCCCAATAGCTCAACGAATCGCTCGAATTTCACCTTCTCTAAGGGCTTCGTCAAGCTATCCGCGGCTTGTTCCTGGGTGGGGATTTTGACGAATTTGCAGCGACCCTTGGCCACCTGAAGACAGAGATGGTGGTATTTCACATTGATGTGCTTCGTGCGTGCGTAGAAATCGTGGCTCTCTGTAAGGTATATCGCACCGTTATTGTCTTTATACAGTGCGGTAGGCAAATTCAACAGCTGATCAGCTAAGCCTATCTCTATAATGAACAGCTGGAGCTAGACTACTTCCTGCACTGCTAGGGAAGCAGCCACATATTCGCTCTCCGTGGAAGAGAGAGATACACACGATTGTTTCTTCGATATCCAGCTCACAGGCCTGTTAGCCAGCTTAAAGACGAAGCTGGAAGTTGATATACAGCTATTAGCGTGCTTGCTAGCCTAGTCAGCGTCAACGAAGCTAAAGAGGGAATCAGGGCTATAGGAGTATCGTACGCAGAGGTCTGTACTACTAGCGAAATAGCGAAAGACTCTCTTGACAGCCGTGAAATGCTTTGAGGCTGGATTATATCCGTACCTGGCTAGCTTTGCTACCGAAAATAGAATATCCGGTCGCGTATTAACTATCAGCCAAATCAGGGATCCGACCCTTTTCCTGTACTAGGTAATCTCTTCTTCTGATGCCGAGCCTTTATTAGGCTTCAGAACCTCCTTATCGTAGAAGGGCGTCGGGGAGGGATAAGCATCCTTTAGGCCGAATTTTTTGAGGATCTTCTTAATGTAAGCTTTCTGTGAGAGATAGATCTTCCCTTCTTTTCGGATAATATCTGTGAAAGGCTGAAGCAAGACTTGATTCAATCTAACTAGGCCAACATGCTGTTTACAAAAAGCTTGGAGAAGAGAAGGAGTGGATCAAGCGGAACAACAATAGAAGTAAGCAGACAGGGCGGTGGCAGAACGGAACGTGCGGGGAAGGCTATGTGGCAGGGCCACATAGTAAGAAGCGGGTCTAACCCGTGACATTACCCCCCTCCTAGGTCAGAAGGGTGATCTGAGTCGTAACCGTCTGAATTCCAAAACGGCGACGAATCGGGGTCGTTTCGGGACTGGTCCGTTGCTGAATCTAAACTGAGGGATTTAGACCGTTTATTCGCGGCAAGTCGAAAAGGACACGCAGATATCCAGTGACTACATGCACCGCAGTAGTAGCAAAGCCCGTGCTTCGCGCGCTCGGCGATATTAGCGGGGTTATTAAAGCCTAGTGGGAGTGGCGGTTTTGATAGGCGCACGCGGTTTGATTTCACTCGAACTGGTGATGATTGGGCGGCGTTTATACGAACTGGGTCAAGGTCCATTAGGTCTAGCTGGCTTTGGCGAGTCTGAGTCTGGCGAGTTTGGTTCTGGCTAGTCTGGTTCTGGCTAATCTGGTTCTGGCTAATCTGGTTCTGGCGTTGGGTGACCGGGCGCTGCTGGCGGCGGTCATGACGTTGGAGTAGTTCTATATAATCATCGTATTCGAGATCGAATAGAGTGTCATACGACTGCTCAAGAATCTGGCGTAACGCGGGGCGTAGTCCGCGGTGTAGCGTAATCGTACGAAGTAGATCCTGCTGGTGAACCTTAGCTTCGTGCGATAGACGTTCGAATCGGGCGAGGTAGGCAACTAGGCTTTCGTCGTCTTTCTGGCGGATATTGGCGAATCGGAGAACTGCATCTTGTTTCTCACGAGGATTATGACAAAGACGTTCGAAATACTGGAAGACTGCTTCGGGTGTCGGGTTGGTTTCGCGAAGATGTAAGACTGAGGCTTGCTGGGGTGGCTCAAGGCGATCGTATACGTAGTCGAATGCTTGTTGACCGGCTAAGCCGTCCGACCGTAGCTTTGCTTGAACAGCTGGAAGCCACGTCTTTAGACTAAATGGTCGGCCGTCGAATCTAGGCGGGTCTGGTAGTCTGAAATGCGAGCGAGTAGGCGCGAGGGTCTCTAGCTGGCGTTGC